GCAATGGACTCCGAACGAGGTGAGTTCCTCTAAGCCTTCCTACCAACATGACCAAGTGCGAAAACAAGGTCAAACAACTTGTTAGTTCTTCTATTTTAAATTGTAAATAGGCTTCGAGGCTACCAGTAGATCGTGTATAAAAGCATATTCCATTTAGAATGCTAAAGAACTGATAGTGAAATTCCACTCATACTCATTTGAGAAGGCCACAGGTTTCCATTGGATTTCACGTAGACTAGCTTCACAACGACCACACAAAAGGCCACACCATTTTGGTCTTCATACATAGCTTCACAAAAGATATTATCCTCCAAGCCGGTGTGGACTGCAATTCCGAACTCGCCTCGGGCTCTTTCTTCAGTACCTTCAGCGAGATCCTGACATGGCAGAACAGCCAGGTTTATTTGATCAACTTCATTGGAGGGTGTGTGATGTACCAACCGACAGTCAGCTACACCTTGCAGGCGTCTTCCGAAGACCACTTGTCAGTTAAACGGAGCACTTGATTAGAGACAAATGCATGATTGCTCTATTCGTGGCGAGTAAAATGGATAGATTGATAGACTGACCTTGGTAACCCGTCGAACTGAGGGTACAGCGATGCCCAATAATCCGACTCAAGAAGAAAAGAATAAAGCAGAGGAAGTTGAGTAGTAATAGAAGTAGGAAGAAAAAAAAAGGCAGATTGTGACGATGATGATAATGATAATGAGGATGATGATGACGAGGAAGAGGATGAGGTGTAGAGAGAGAAAGAGAATGAGGAAAAGGAGAAAGTAAAGAAGGAAAGGGAGGAACAAGTAAAATGGTGGGATGAGAGAGAGGGAGGAGAAGAATAGAGGTGGGTGGAGGTGTGAAATTCGGAAGGGGGGAGAAGAGGGTTGAGGAAATGGAGAAGAGAAGAAGCAAGTAGTGGAATGAAGAGGAAAGGGAGGAGGAGGAGTTGGACGAAGAGGTGGAGTGCATTGATGAGAATGTCTCACACACATGCGTGTGTAGGTATGTGTTTGTATGTGTAACTGTGTGTGTGTGTGTGTATCGCAGAGATTTGGGTATGGAAAAGAATTTGCTGTGTCAGGCCGACAAGCAGACGAGGCAATAAGTCGGAGGCAGATGGTGAGATAGCCAGGCAGATGGCAGGAGTGAAGATGTGACCGCTGGGGAGGGACGAGAAATGTGAGAGTTGTTAACAATTTCACACCCTCGGCGCGTCAAAAACAAGCCTTGGTCGCATGTTCTCCTGGTCAGCTGTAGTGTCTTTCCGGCCTAGCCTCGACGCAACAGTCGCTTTGCGAGTCTGCCCCACAGGCTCGGCCTCCACACCTCGGCCACAGACACACCGGGTACCGGGTACCGGGTACAGGCATACCGACACACAGAAACACCGACTTTCTGTCTCCCGTCACAATTTGTCCGCACGACAAATCAACACTTGGCCGGTCGGAATGGGCTTAATAGGCTCGCGTTTCCACCAACCGACGGATCGTGTCGGGTCGTGGATAGAATGTCGCCGAAAAGACCGGACGCTGTTCCACTTGGCCGCAGGGACACCCGCCTGGTGCTGTTAGGCTCCAGACGGCTTCAGGGAGTGGACATGTACACCTTTCGGTGGCCACCTCTTGCCGCAATGCAGAGTCCTGCGCGATATTCTGCTCATTTCGTTATGGGAAAATTCAACTAAAAGCTGTTCTATAGAAGTTGTTTGACCTTGTTTTCACAACTTGGTCATATTGGTAGGAAGACCTAGAGAAACACACCTTGTCTGCAGTCCATTGTATGCATCAGCATTTCCAACGTAGGACCGTGGACGTGGTACATTCACAGACGTTTCGCCGGCATCGTCAATGAGTCTCACCATTCTTTGCACCATATTACAACTCGTCAAAGAGACAAGTGAAGCCAATCCTTTGACCAAACGTGTGCTAAACAGTTATGCTATCTCACCTTCTGCCCTGGCCTATTCCCATTTCCTATATCCTCCTATCATGTCACAGTTTTTACCGTGCTTATTTTTAATTTAGTGTGGTGTGCTCCTTAGAGCGGCATTCATGAAAAACTTTTCACACTCCACACTATCGTTATCACCCCTATCACCCTTGTGTTAGGAATGTTGACCAGAGTCTGTCATATTGTTACGTAGTCCTTCCCTGGGTCCTATCAAAGTCTCCCTCT